TACCAGCGTGACTTAAAGGAGCGGTGCAACGATATTCAATCGGAATGTTTTTCACTTGACACGAGCTTACTGGCACACCTGAAACTCAAGGATACTCAGACGCAACGCCACTGGCCAAGGAACTCCTTTATTGCGGTGTAATTTCTAGGACAAAAGCGATCATTTTCATTCAATCTCTCCTTTGCAAAATTTGATGACGTAACGTGGGGATCGCAGTACACCCCGATGACGATATTTGAATGCGGTTCATAGATTGGACCCGAGCATTGCGTGGGCACTCGACTTGGGCTCGTGATAATTGCTAGCTCGAGAAGCATTCGAGTAGTGACCCGTGTCCAATCGCTGCAACGACGACAACAGCCGAGCCATAACAATGTCTGGAACTCAGAGCGTGTTCTGCGCTTTGCCAACCCTAGCACGCGGCTATAATCAACATTGGCGGTATATAATCGGCTCCAGATCGCGTGGCCGCTTGTTCTGGCTGCGAGTTGAGGGGGTGAACGCTGCTTGTTTTTCTTTAATTTTTTTCTGGGACTTCTATTGCGTGGGGTGAAAAACAAGCGCGTGTTTCATAGGTCATTAACGTTAGGGATCCGTTTTAAGCGGTATTTGCGCAAAGTACAAAAATTGTTGCATCGCTCCTTTAAATTCGCTAAAGACGGTCCTGGAATTGTAAAGAATAATAGTAATAATGCTGATTGAGAAGTCATGAGGCTTCTTTTGGTCTCTTTTTCAGAAAGGTAGACGGGCAGTGTTAAAGCTGTTTTTTTTTTTTTTTTTTTTTTTTTTTTTTTTTAAGGTATTACAATCGCGTTTGAACCTGCAGCGGGACATCGCAGCGAGCAAGGCACCTCATGTATGTCGTCATGGCGGAAGACGGAAGACGTGCTTGTCACAATATGGCAGAAGTGCACGATTGAATTTTGAGTTAACCCTTAAAGAATGGCAACTGCCCTGTACCACCTTCTTAGGACCTGGCGGGCTTACCGCCGCAAAAAATTCTGGCCATTTCAAACAAAGAAAAAAAGAAAAGCACCTGCACGAGTGCAAGTTATTTTTTTTTTTTTTTATTCTTATATACGATGAAGTGAAGAAAGTTGCGACTGCAAACCTGAGAGCGATGTTGCAAAATAACCTTCTACATTTTTTTTTAAATTGCTTTCGAAACATTCTAATTAATATATCGAATGTTAAGGGTGCTCCGATGAAAAAGAAACATGTTCAGAGCTAGTAGAACCACCCAGTTCTAAATAATAATATTTAAAAAATTTCAATCTCATGACTTCTTATGCGACCCTCGTAGTAAATACTTCTGACTCAGGAGAACAGCGCCGCCGAAGAAGACCCAGTAGCCCGTACCATAAAGGGCTGCGAGCGTAAAGCGGAAGCTCCTCCCACCTCTTACCATTTTAGCAGAGCGAACGCTGGGGAGGGGGTCGCCTCCTCTCCATCGTTCGTTCTGCAAGAGTGGGGAGAGGTGGGAGGAGCTTCCCCTGTATTCTTAACCTGACAGTGACAATAACTAATGACACCATCCCTGGGTGCTGAACGATGGCTAATTTTCCCCTAGAATTGAAAGCAAACGACCGAGCAGTTATTTGTACGGCAATGCCGCGCGACCACGTTCATTGTCGAAAGAAAGTGGAGTTGATAAGTATTTCCAAACATTGGAATTCCGCCAGTGATTCCCCCCCCCCCCCCCCCCCCTGTTTTTCCGAAGGCACCCCTTTAATTTACAACGACTCCTCTATTCTCAATGCCCCCCCCCCCCTAACCCCCCAAAAATTAAAGCCCCCCCCCCCCTCCCCCCCCCGCCTAATTTCAATTCCTGGGGAAACCCCTGAATTCCGCTCTCCCGATATAGCGTGTGATGTGCACGCTTCGCGACGCTCTTAGTGCGAACAAGTCATTGCCGGTTTCATTCGTATTTCTCTCAGTAATGCCGGTGTGTCATCAAAACTACTAGATGGTAAAAAAGTGCTCAGACTGGGTAGTAACCTGAGTGGTAAATATAGATTCCCGCCAGCACCTTTCTGGGGTAAAATGTGCAAAAGCGCCAAAGTCGTGTTCGGGTTAACGGTGCCCCGCAATGTGTATGTTGCTGATATTTTCTCTCTTTTTTCTTCTTTTTTTACACGCCGCTTCGCACAGCAGTTTAGCCCGCCAGAGCGGCCACTTCATCGTGTTGCCAGGGTAAAGTTTGCTTAATTACAATCGTATGGCGTAGAATTTTTTTTTTTTTTTTTTTTTCATTTATGACGAACTTGAAAAATCATAGTTCTATCACTGGCACGTTCAAGTGACGTTCAAGCGACCTCAAAAGAACAATGGTAACAAAAGCCGCAAGGGACCAACCGTGCGTCCTGTCCCCTTCTTTCCGTTCGTCTGCGGTCTCAACGATGTTCCAAGTCACAGACGACCAAGTCGAGTTTTCGCAACTCGGCTCGCTCGTCTACTTCGGCATCCGCCTTTGACATTGGCAAGTTTATTGACTCCATTTTTTTTAATAGAAAGGGAGCTACTCTTCGTAATTTTACAACAAAAATCCGACCTGTGAAGTACATATGTAGTGTGTGCATTGCATTGCCGTCTTCAAGCTAAAGAAAGGGAGTTGTGTGGATGAATGTTTCGACTATGTGAAGCTCGTCAAACGGTCATGCAAAGAGGGACACTTACCAATCAGCGGTTGATGAGCAATTACCAAATTGCTCATCAACCTGGTGCCCGGGAGTGATTAGTGAAGCGCAACGCAAGCACGACGGTCTTCGCTCAGTATATGACACTGTAGTTTATATTCAACAACAACCGAGACTGAAACGAGAACGGACCAACACACACAAATAGAGCGAGATTTTTAAGACAACGATTGCTGCGTACGTGTTGTAATCTGGCTTAAATTAACCGTCAAAAATTTACGCCGCCAAAGAAAAAAAGAAAAAAAAAAGAAAGAAAAACGCGATGGCTTATGCGAATATGATCTTGACCCGAGTCGTCTCTCAGTTAGGAACATTACATTTAGTTCTATGAATGTAGGCATACAAGCATAGATCACATGTCATACCTATTCAAGCAAGAGGTTCCTGAAATCAGTGCAAGAGCGCAGGTGTGCGGGTTAACGATTATACTGAAAACAGCGGTTTCCGAGAACACAAGAAGGTGTTGTGCTTGTTTTTCTTTTTGTTGCTTCGTCTCCGGCGCTTTTAGTTTTTTGTTCGTTTGTTACGTTACCTTTTAAATGAGTTAGCATACTCCGTAGGTATGTTTTCGCACCTAATTAAGCACGAAAAATGTTGTGTAGGTTTTTTTTTTGTGCATACATGCACAAATTAGTATATCAAGGAGCATATTATCAGTTAATAGACCCTTTCCGGAATTCAGTCTGGGAACTTTGATCATTATCATCATCATCTGAAAACGGCATATGTGCTATACTAATGTCGGCCTTCTGTTTACTGATGAAGGAAGAAGTTGAAGATGCTCCTAAGCAGATGATTCGAGGCCTATACATTCCAGATGTTAGCGCGGCGAGAAGCAGGAATTGGACGCAAGAGCTGCGTAATTTCTAACTCAGTCCCAGTCAATCTGTTAGTAGCACTCACTCGGCTTCAAAGCAACTTGATGTATAGAACTCTATCAAGGCGTCTATGTGGGTTGGCGCTTCGTTCCGACTGGCTGTATTTGTTTCGCCATCGACACTCAAAGAGGTTGAAAAATAATTGTCGTGAAGTGCACATTCTCGTTTACCGTTGACCTTTAAGTGACGGAGCCCTATTAAATACTGCAGACCTCAGGTTCATTGCCGCCATTAGTATAGTAAAAGATAAACTGCCATTTGAGTCACCAGATGGCACTGAATTCCGGAAAGGGTCTATTGCTTCTTGGTTTTCAAATGTTTTCGGCGCTACACATGAGTATGGCACATGCATTCATATGACTCTACTAAACACACTGAACTCCCAATGTCAATAATCAATCAACCAATCAATCAGTGTTCATTAAAGTGTTCAGAAACAACCAATCGGTCTTAGTGCTGGCGCACTTTAAAAAACGAGAAAAAACACACACATACACACGAGTGCAGAAGGGAAACGAAATTCACCAGTCTGAGAATAAAAATATTCACAAGTACAAAAGACACTCAAATGAACAAGGGAGACCAAAAGCACAAAACAGAGATATCCCCAAGTGTGAGGGCAAAAAGCAAATACTTGGATATCGTCCTACAAACATCAACCCTTCAACTGATCAGCCCTTTTCTTGGAAGAGGAAGTTTCGAGCAGCGTTTCCTAACTTGCTCCCGCACGAGTTAAAAATATCAATTGTATGAGAGTAGCGGTTATAACACTCAGCCGATATTTGGATCGGGTTTAAGTGGCTAAAATGTCGAGTTATATATATATATAAAAAAAAAAAAAGTCATGTAGGCACACGTGGAACTCTAAGGCTCACTTCGGACAGAAGGCTGGGAGAGGTAATCGGGCCGTGCAGGGTCTAAAAACAAAAACAACAGATCTGCCCTCACCCGACGCTGCTGCAGGCTCAACAAGTTGACGAGTTGCGAGTTACACCCATCGTTTAAACAAGGATCACTGTTCTTAAGGTAGGTAACGATATTTAAAGTTAGGAATAATTTTGTTTTGGACTCGCTCGACAGATTCTACTACTACTACTAATAATAATAATGCAACTTGCTTGATAGTCTTTGAAAATGCATGTGGTTTATTTGTCATGAGCCTTTGTTATGCTTTGGTAGAACTGTTCTTTTGTTTTTTTTGTATGTGTTGACAATAAATACTGATTGATGATAGCTGTTAAACGCTTGCCATCGATGGGTAATAAAAGCTAATTTGAATACGACGGTCCTTAATTTCATTATCACCACCACGTCACGAGAGTTCTGCTATCACTGCCCAGGAACCTAAGTAACCTCCCGCCTCATTTTGGAGCGAGACGCGAAAGAAGCGCTTGACGATTTCGCCAATTTCGCCTCGCAGCCCACGCTGGGCCGATTGCACCTGCGCCTCCATCGGCCCACGAGAGAGGGCGCCAGCGAACCAGTGGTGACGTCACGCGGGAGCGCGGCGCAGAGCATTGTGGGATGTCCAAGCCGTCCACAAAGCCAACAAGCCGGGAGGACGCGCCGAGGTACGTCGCAGCCGTCGCGGACGTCATGGAGTTATCGTCCGTGGGCGAGCGCGTGTTCGCCGCCGAATGCATCCAGAAGAAGCGCATACGAAAGGTGAGATCGCGTTTCTTGGCGTCTTCGCGCGGGCTCGCCGCGTTGGTAATCGTCCGTAGCCGAGCGCAGCGGACTACCGCTACGCGCCAAGCTACGTCGACACACGGCGGGCCGCTCTCATCGCAGCATTGCACCCGTGTTTTCACGTCGTTGCAGGGTCGAGCCGAGTATCTGGTCAAGTGGCGCGGATGGAGTCACAAGTGAGTAGACTAGGCCTGCTTTACCGCCTCATTCATCGCCCGTTCGTTTCGCGAACCGACGACGGGTCGCGGCGGCGACGGCCTGCTTGTCGCCTCCATGTTTATTTGTTGTCCTCCGTCGCCCGTTCTGGGGCGGCGGCGGTCACTGTAGGGCTCTCGTTCGGAGTCGCCCCGATCGCGATCGATGTCTCGGGGCTTGATGTGTGTCCGTTTTTTGCCGTCTAGATACAACACCTGGGAGCCCGAAGAGAACATTCTGGACGTTCGGCTACTGGAAGCCTTCGAGTCGAGGTACGCCGCCGTTTTGGATTCTAAGCAGCAGACGGGCAACATCGGTTGAGGGAGGGAGAGGAGGACGTAGGGGGCAGCATCCTCTCCTTCTTCCGACCGGTTTCAGTTTTTTTTTCTCTCTCCTTCGGTTTTTAATTTTTTTTTTTTTATTGGAGGCGCCTGGTAGGCCACTCTGTAGCGAGATGGCGCTGCTCTCTCTATCTCTTCGTGTTTGTTTGGCTAGGTTTTGGGTATTTTCGAAGGCGCACGATCTTTCTCTCCCTTCCGCGTAGAAGGTGGGAGAGGATGTTCTTACAAAGATGGCGCCGTCCGCTGATTCGCCAATCGCGGATTTGTCGCCCGCTAATGACTGCGACAGGTTTGAGGGAAGCTGTCCTTGCGATTCCCTCTTTGTGACGCCTGTCAAAAAAAGATTTTTTTTTCTTTTTTTGCGGAGGGGAGCGCGCTGTTGTCAGATCCGGCTTTGGGGACCGCTTCGTCCCGAGCTTTCCACGCCGGTAGACCAAAACGAAAAGATGCCCGGACGGTCTTTGAGAGCGCTCTTCCACAGATCTTGCAAACGCGTTGTGTAAGCGCCATTTCAAGGCAGTCGCGATATCTCTGTACAATTCGGCATTTCTCTTTTTCCGCAGCCAAAAGGATGTCGGTCCTGGGAAGCGCGGACAAAAGCCCAAGAAGGAGCGGAGTCACGTGAGTAGTCTTGGTTGTCTGGAGTTGGTCGGACTGTTTGTTTGTCACGGTGGCGGTACTTTCCGTCAGTTCTTGATGACACAGGATCATCGCTAGATTTTGCACAAGTAGTGTCTGTTCTGACATCCATCAAAATGCACAAAGATATTATTTGCATGTCTGGAGGGTGTGAAATGGCTGTCTGATTATTTGAACATCCCCATCAAAGTAGCAGATGCTCACTTTTGGTCGACCTTTTAGCTAATTTTGTAGTACAGCGTGTCCTCAAACAAGGTTTACAGGTTTTTTTTGCTGTGCAAAGAGAAACAATGCATTGCCAAACGCTCGTTCTTCGCCCAAATGTAGTGCTGGTGGTCCAAACCAGATAGCAAATTTTCGCATCTAACATTTGTCTTGCCGCCCAATTCACAAACCTCACTCCAATTGAGGAGCCCCTCCACTTCCTGGAAGAGGGCCGGCGCTGGCCAATCGCGATAACGGATCCGTCATCGCGATTGGCCAGCGCCGGCCCTCGCGCCTTCCTCGAGGAAGTGGAGGGGCCCCTTAATTGGAGTGAGGTTTGTGAATACGGCGGTTATTTGCAAGTTACAAGGGATTTTCTGAAAATTTCGATTGGAAGATAAGCCCCTTGTCGGTTACTGGTGCCATTCAGTTCCATGTACTCAAGGGCTTTGCTGGCTACCATATTCCCGTTGTAAATTTAGGAAACTCAAATCTTTCTAATAAGATAACGGGTAGTTCTCAAGTTCAAGTTCTATTTACCTCATAGACGTTCGTTCAAACATGTTATATAAAGGGAGAGAGCTGAAACTTTGTATCTGGTTCAGACCTCTATCGCTACATTTGGTTGGGGAAAGAGTTCTCGTCGATGCAAACCTTAAAATCCTGTAAAGGTGCCCTCCTCCGAGAGATTGCCCATGCCATTTCTCTGGCTAAATATCCGTAACATGAAAATTGCAAAACATCGCCTACTCCCCGTTTCCCATTGGACGTCATGCGATGTCCAACGGGGATCATCAATTGCGTGATCTGCAGTGCCTGTACGTGTGACAACCGGGTTCCCGTGACATGCTAGTTTGCAGCTTTCTGTTTTGTTTATTGTTTGCAATCTGCGTACGCCATGTCGGTTCTGTGGCACACAAATTTAGGCAGTTTCTGCGTGCTTATCGCACCATGAAATACAAATCTGCTGCATTCGCACTCTGCGGTGTCCTTTCCTGTGACACGGGAGATCAATTCCTGCGTGTTTATTTTGTTGTGAACCGATTATTTCAGGTGTCCGTTTCCTGCTGTATCAGTTGCCGTGTCAGGTGTTTTGTAGCGGGTACCCCTTGTGTTTATCATTGATTTTTGGTAAAGTTTTGCTGTCCCGTCTCTAAGTATTGCTCGCATCATGTTTTTGACCATTTACCTCTTCATTTTTGGTGGTCGCCGTTACGGGATTTCACAATAGTTTATTTGTGTAATTAGAAGGAAAGAAAAGGTAAATATTTTTATTTGGACACTTCATACATTGATTTCTGTTTTCTATGCAGAATATTGAACGATAAACAAAAGCAAACGTGACCGAACCCCTAGGAAGAGTCTCTTGCTTCCGATCGGCCATCGTTTCTAAGAACCCGAACTGAGCAGCGCCTACTTTAAAAGTCTCACTTTCAAGGCCCAGCTGCCATACCTTCAAAAGTTTAACTTATTACGGGATCGACGCGGCTTGTCGATTCCTTGGATGAGAGGAATAAGCACTTGTTCGTCGAAGAAGCTACTAATCTGCTGAAGGTATTGTGAACCTAACTTCACGACTACCTATTAGAGCTGCCTGGCCTGTATACCTGAGAACGACTTAAAGCCCAGAGGCCCTTGGACACATTCAACCGCATCGAGAACAGCAAGGCATCCGTAATGGGCGCCTACCATCCCAAGGTGCCGAAGATGTCCGCCAAGTTTTCCCGCAGGTGTCACCAAGTCAGATTTTTGTTTCTAGCAGACAGTCTTCTGGAAGCTTCTATTATGCTTCAGTCGGTACAGTTCGAGTATTTGTAGTGTACAATTTTCTGATGCCTTGTCTTGCTTGTTTTGGTATTCAAGGTTTCTTTCCCAGATCTCCGTATAACTTTGCATTTCTACATGCCTTTAGTGCCCGGTTGTGCATCTATCGTATGGTAATGATCAGTCGAGGCACTGCATCCGCTCGTTTCTCACGTGTCGTCTGTCAGCAGGACGTCAAAGTAGGCGAGCGCTGCCGTGTTAGGTCGCCTGCTAAGGTCAGCGGTCTCTGTGGTGTCCCTCGTCTCGAGAGAATTCAAAGAACTTCACTTTGACATTTGTTTGTGCCAGTGCGCATTGGCCACTCAAAAGTAACGACACTGTGGCATTTCTCGAGCGTCGCTCTCGTGTAATTGCTGTCTAGTGAACATAGAATCATTGTGCACCCACCCAAATACAGTCGCCACCGATTTTTCGGACGCCGATAATTCAAACTTGTTCAGTATTTCGGATCTATAGGAGGAACCGTGACCTATTAGAAAGAAATAATGAATATTCACGATCAATGTCTCGGACAGTTAGAAGGTTGTATATTTTGGACAAAGTCATCGCAAGCGATCGGCAAAAAACTCTACCGAGAAGCCTCCACTTTATATTTTATGTTGACTGCACATGGATCGGCTTGGTTTGGCAGCTCTACTTGAGTACTGCTGAGCCCTCTGCTAGGCAACGGTATGCTACGGCATTTTTTTTCTCTATGCGTTATTATAATCATCATCATTGTTGCCATTTTGCTTTGTTTTATTTTGGGACAACAATATAAACAAGCAGCATTGGTGTTTCACGTTGCAAAGCCGAGTGCCCCAGCGACACCGCAGAGTTAGTAGACGAGGAACCTTGTGCTTTGTAAGCTCACTGTTTTGACATCTTTAGCTTTCATTTGCATATACAATAACTTTTGGCCCACACCTGATGTTATAAGAAGATTTAAAACACCACAACACCATAGTACTGGCACTTTTCAGTAGAATGAGAGCAGGCACACTGTCCTTGCCCCGTTGCACAATAGACCTTTTGCGAAATCCCCCAAGCGCCCGGGCCCGCGCGCGAGGAATTGTGGGAGAGATTGTCCCTCGCCTGGCCGCTCTGCCTTGAGATCGCGTTGCCTTGTTGCTTGTCTCCTCTTAATCCTCTGTATTTCGATTCTATAACCTATTTTTATCTATTCCAGTGTATTTTTTATTGCTTGTAAGTGTTTCTGTTCTCTTCGGCGTGCAATATTTCTTGGATGTGCATAGTATTTGTGTCTTTATTTTGCCTTTTTCGACGGGAGTGCCGACGGACAACACGCCGCTTCGCGCGTCGTTCCCCGGGTGAGTACTACCGTTGCTACCGATTCCTCTCGCTCTGTTAGCTGTTCATTTTTGGTTCAATTTACCCACGTGCAGTCGAGAGGAGCCGTTTATGAACACCCATGCACATGTCATAAGGGTAGGCAGAGCTCTGAATCAACAATCGCGATGCGAGAGACGAGTGCGCTGTGATTTGTCTGCGCGCGCTCGCTCCGTTGACTCGCACTCTAGCGTATGCCTTCGAGTTCCGCTTACTTGGCCAAGATGCAGCACAATGCTTTGTCGTCACGAACCATTTGTCCGAATGTTTGCGAAGCTGAGGCATATGCAACGCTGCGGCGCCTGACAACTGCGCGCTGTGGCGCGTTGCAAACGCCGACAGCTCAATGTCGCGGCTTCAATGCGTCCATGGCATGCCTTCGTAATCTATCTGCTAAGCGGTTGTCAGTTGCCAACACCCTTTTTCAAGTGCAGAGATGTGTTGCCGCGAATCATTTGTTTGAATGCCTGCGAAGCCGTAACACCGTTCGTCATATCCAAAGCTGCAGTGCCTGACAAACTGCGCGCAGCGGTGCGAGCCCTTCTTAAAGGGACACTGACACCCCCCAAAATTTTTTTTTAATTTTTTGCCAGGCGCTTCATTATGGTGTCGGAGGACTACCCAATTAATATTTTGCAACAGAGTAGCGTATTTTTTTTAATAAAGCCAAAAGACGCAACTGCTCGAAACCGAAACCGAAACCCGACGGAGGTCGGAGAAGTGGAGAGAAGAGAATGAGTGGCGGAAGTCACGTGGCTACACTCGACCGTGTGTTTTTTTTTTTTTTTTTTGCTTTTTTTCGTAGCAGACGACATGCGGCGTACGGGAACTGTTCGCCGTGGGATTCTTTTGCAGTTATGTATGTTCCGCTCGTTGTTCTGTACTCCAAGATGAGTCGTTTTGTACATTGAGGAGTTGGAGATGAGTAGTGAGTGCCCGTGGTGAATTTTGATCGGCTCCGAAAAGAATGCACCCAAGATGTTGCGTGAAGAGCTGGCTCACATGTCCTGCGTCCGAAACAGAAGTGGCATTGTGCGACAGAGTTTCCGATACATCAACGGGATCGGGACCAATGGCTGGCTGCAATTCCTGTAGACCATTTACGGGCACCTCGGAAAGCGGACGCTACCTGATTTATATGCTCCTTGCGCATTTTGTGAAAAGTGATTACATTGAGTTCGCAGGTGTCAAAAAGGAAATCCCATACCATTTAATTCAGCGACGCGTCGTCCACAACATTTGTTTCTCATTTTTTTTTTTTTTTGTTTCTTCAGTAATAATTGTAAAAAAAGAAATGTAGACATCAAAAAATATTTTGAAAAAAAAAAAAAATTGGAGGGTTTCACGAGGGATCGAACCCGGTCCTACCGCGTGTGAAGCGGACGTCTTTCCCACTGAGCTACTGGGCGCATCGAAAGTAGGGGATCTCTTTCCTTAGTAACAATTCAGCCGATAAACTGTAAGTTGGAAAGTTTGCTGCCGATTTTCCTGTAGCAAAAGCACTCCCGGGTCGAAGTCGGGATGCACCACGCATTGGCGACATTCTCACCTAGTAAAGAAATCGTACGCGCACATATTCAACTCGAAGTAGACACGTCGCGCTTGACGTTTGCGCGAGCGATCTC